CAGAACCTGTTCTGCTTCAGAACTCCTCCTCAGAAACCTCTGAAGACMCAGTGGGAACTCAGCTCCTCGAGGCAACAAAGGATCCTGAAGTCACAGGAGGAGGCCAGCCAGAGTCTCAGCCCTCCAGTGGGAAGAATCAATCTAAAAAGAAAAAGAGAAAAAGAAACCTGCATGATTCTACAGCTGGTGTCACAGAGCTGGAGGAGAAGAAGCAGATATCTGCTTCAGCTGAGGTGTCCTCTGAAGCAGAGGCGTCAACACAAGTGAAGAACAAAAAGGACCTGAAAACCAAGGATGACACACAGATCTTATTAGTCAGATGTGAGACAAAGGCTTCACCTGAGGTTTGTGTTAAAAGCCCTAAAAACAAGAGTCAAAAGGCTGATGTGGATCCTGGTTCAGTGAATGGTACGAGTAGATCAGAGGTCACATCAGAAAACTGCACAGGTTCAGCTGAAAACCGTCCAAACCCTGGGCTTGATGTAACACTTTGCAACGCTCTGTCAACCAAGAAGCTCAAAAAGAAGGGACCCAAAGCTGAGAAGGTTGGAGCGAATGCTACAGTGCAACTTACAAAGATGAAAAAGAAGGAGAAGAGAAAACAGGAAGTGAAACCTGCCCCACAGGTGGAGAGGGGTCCGATGCTTGATGACTCACCTGCTGCAGAAGATTGTGCTGCGACACCACTGAAGAAGAAAAAGAAACAGAAAAGTTCTGCATCTGCAGAGGAAGAGAAAACACAAATAACTCAGATGGATGTTCAAACAAGACCACTAACAAAAAAGAAGAAGAAAAAGATGGTGAAGCATAATCCAGATGCCAGCCAGCTGCAGGTGGATGGTGCACACACACAACCTCCATCCCTGGATGATGACTCCGTCGTGTCGACTGGGAAAGCAGCGAAGAAGAAGAAGATCCCCATTGAGTTTGAGTATGAAGCAGATGAAGTGGAGGTGATGATACCAGTCAGCCGGGTTACTAAAGCTAAAACCAAACGAGGCAGTGTGAGTATTTCTTATTCTTTTCCTTTTTTATTGTTCACTTTACAGAAGCAGTGTCCTTGGTTTTACAACAGCTTCTGTTTCTTTCCAGAAATATAGAAATAAAAGATCCTTTTATTAACCAGATTAATTCTTTCTGTGTATAGTTCGATATTAAAGTGGGCCTATTATGCAAAACTCACTTTTTTTAAACTTATTTTTGGGTCTCTGCTGCTTAGAGAAGCAGTCTAGACACCAAAACAATGCACCCAGCTGTTTTTTTTTATCTATAATAACATGTATTTTTAGGTATCTGGAAACATTTTTTTCTCAAAGCACGTTATTCTGACATCACAATAACAGTCACCTAGCAACCTAAACCAGAGTCCTGCTCCTCACGAGGCAACCCRAGGTGAAGCTCCGCCCACTTCTTCACGGGACGATAGTTGTTCTGTTTTTACAGCAGCCATGGACAACAGAGATGCCTGGATTAATTTTATTTTTATCTTGATGACAATGTTCTGACAATATTGCCAAAGAAAGCTGTAGTTTGTGAAAATAATTTCACTTTGGAAACTTCTACCATGTCGGGGGGCGGAGCTAACACAAAACAAATGGGTAGTGGGGATAGGGGAGGGGGGTTTCCATAGCAACTTCTGCATACAGCACGTTCTGGAGAGAGCTGAAGAGCAGGAAGAACTGAAAAGGTGAAATTTCATTATTTGGGATTGTTTTTGTGAATTAAATCAAATGAACATGTTTTGTATAGCCCACAGATGGATCCTAACTTGTGCTAAGACCCCCATAATAGGCCCACTTTAAATCATCTAAGGTTCCTGTTCTTCCACTTAATGAGCTTTCAAATTAAATGACAATTATTTAAAGGGGCAATATCATGTAAAATCAACTTTTTTGAGTTTTATATCATGTTATAATGTTATACTTTCATAAAAACATGTCCAAAGCCTTGCTTTGACTCATTCATCATGTTTGAGAAATCCTGCAGTGTTTTTATGAAGCCATGCTGAGGAGCAAAACGACAGGTGGGGACCAGGAACACCCCTGGGACGTGTCTTTAAGCAGAACTTCCTCATCACGGAGCACACCTCCCCACCCTCCCTCCACCCCACACACCCCGCCCATGACTTCTGCAGGCTCTCGGCAGTAACAACG